CGTTCTGCGCTCACCAGTCGACACCCCGGCACAACTCGCTATGGGTGCATACTTCCGCGGCCGTCCGCGTACCACCCTTGCAACCACCGTCATCACCGGCTGACCAGCCATGGTATCCCCACCCGGACGCAGACCGATCTTGAGACCTGGCGCACCAGAGCCCAAGACAGAAAAGGCTGGCACACCCTGAAGGCAACTTGCTAGAACCAAACTGTTCAAACCACTCCAGACCAAACATTCAGAAATGACGAGACAACTCGCCAGCTGTGCGCAACTTTGAACTGTTGAGTGGGACAGCTTGTATAGCCACGCACAAATACGTCTTGGTACTCAAATATGGAGGGGTTCCGGTTCACGGAACGACATTGCACTTGTTACTCGAAAGGATTAGGTGACTTGAAAAGGAGTGTCACCAGAAAACCTTATTTGAGACAAGGTTCAGACAAGTAGACACAAGTGAAGCATGCAAAAGGGAAAAGGCAGCAAAAAAGGAGCCACAGGCTCGCTGCGCATGCTCTGGCCTGAGAGCTGCAAAACGGTGCACGCGATGCGTGCAGCAAGACATCAGCATGACGTCAACATGATGTAACACATAAACAAATAAAGACATAATAATGAGCGTAACGCGGATTCCTGATGCATATTCACGACACTCCCCGGGCATTGGCCGGAGAACAGAATTAACCATAATTAATAACAAGGAGAAATTTCACACAACATGTGGAAAGATAACTGAAGAGCAAATAGAATGCGAGAGCAATGAGAGCGGGAGAGAGAGAGAGAGAGAGTTAAACACGGCCATTGGCGATCAAATCCTGCAAGTTGGACTGAAACTTGCTGGCAGCGGCTCGTGTCGGTCTTCGTACGGGAGTGCTAGTCTTCTGAGCTGGGGTAGCTGAGGATTCCGATGTACTGCTGGTCTCCTGAGCTGGGGTACCTGGGGATTCCGAGGTACTGCTGGTCTCAAGCGGACACAGTAAACTTACTGGCCACTTGACTGGATTGGCGCTCGGCTGTCTCCTGCGCTACTATATACGCACGCAGTTTGACTCTCAGCTCGGTGACAGACCACGGATCGATGCCTTTCTGCAACTCAAGTTGCACAAGCACGTGACGCGGAAGCTTGCTGGTCATCAGTGAGTCGGTCGGTGTCTTCTTCAAGAGCGTTGAGACTGCGTAGATGTAGTTCTACCGTATCGTACAGCTTACGGAGCGAGGACGGCTTGTTGGTTGCGGGTGGAGTTTCCATCAGGGCGACATGGTGAGCATTAACCTGCACCTGCGTGTTGCCATAACGCTCGTCAAGCAGGCCAAGAGCAACAGCATAATTAGCACCTGACAGAGACAAACCAGAAATGGTGTCAAGTGCACTGTGTGTCACATGCTCCTTTAGGTAAGAAAGCTTCTGTACATCGCTTAACCCAGTGTGTTTGTGTACAGATGCCATGAACATGTCGTGGAAAGACTTCCATTGCAGGATGTCACCGTTGAATTTAGGTAAACCTAACTTTGGTAAATTGACAGTGGACTTTTGAAGTGCTTTCGTGGTGAGTGATTCACTATGCTGTTGTAGCAGAGATTGAGTTTGTTCTTGTGTTTGACGATGAATGGTGATAACTCTTTCATCTGGCTTTGCATTAGCTTGACGACTGAGTCGCCGTCCGATTTGTTAGCACTCGACTCTGGAGAGGTCTGACAATCTGCTGCTGATTTCAGTTCAGAAATTCGGAATTTGAGTTTTTTGGTCACGCTCATTGTTTCGAACTGGAAGTCCAGATTATCGTCTGCTTCCTGTTTGCAAGCAGCTTCGTCAGAGCTCTCCAGGGCGGAGGAATCAACACAATTTGACAAAAGCTCACAGACCTCATCAAATGCTACGACATCGGACTCTAAAGATGAACATGTTTCACTTAGCTTTTCTGCTGTTGCAGATTAGGGAGCTCCAGACAATAATGCGTTGCCGTCATCGAGGCATTGCTGGATGCTCTTCTTCAGTCGAAGGATCTTGCCGCGATACCGCTTAGTTGATGCCGGATTAGGAGCATCGGCACTCGCGGCCTTTTTCGGTGGCATTCCCGGGTTTCGGCACCAAGTTTGTGCGCAACTTTGAACTGTTGAGTGGGACAGCTTGTATAGCCACGCACAAATACGTCTTGGTACTCAAATATGGAGGGGTTCCGGTTCACGGAACGACATTGCACTTGTTACTCGAAAGGATTAGGTGACTTGAAAAGGAGTACGAAGTAGTGGTTGCGACTTCGGCGATGATTTGTAAGAAAGGGTTTGCTCCCCACACCGGAGCTTGCGCTATTCCGCCGACTTTACTTGACACTTGACTGACTCACGACTGCCATCCAGAGCACACGAGAAGTCCATCGAACCTTCGACTCGGCAAACCTGCAAGAAAGCACCACTCGTGTGCTCTGGATGGCAGTCGTGAGTCAGTCAAGTGTCAAGTAAAGTCGGCGGAATAGCGCGAGCTCCGGTGTGGGGAGCAAACCCTTTCTTGAAAAGGAGTGTCACCAGAAAACCTTATTTGAGACAAGGTTCAGACAAGTAGAGACAAGTGAAGCATGCAAAAGGGGAAAGGCAGCAAAAAAGAGCATGCGCAGCGAGCACATGGGTTACGTACCGGAAAAACGTGTCCTCCGTCTGCTGATGCAGAGACAGCAGTTCAGACCACGTCTTCTCGGCAGTCTTGCCAAAACTACGTGTCACTTGAACTTTATCGCTTTCATAAGTTGTGACATGATCCAGCACCGGTTCAAACCTTGTCCCCATCGCAGCCGAACGGAGGGCCAACAACCATGTCGATTTTTCGTAGCCATTTTGCTGAACAACAGCCTCAAATGTTATCAAATAACACCGGATGTCCTGTTTGTCGGTGTATTTTGGCACGTCCAACTTGTGGGGGCGCTTCTGCACGTCGTTACTGCCACTACCACTCAAGGCCTGGAGTTTTTCTATCGCCTTCTTACTGTCCAGCTCCTTCTCAGCGATTCTCTCTGCACGCTCTTGTGCTCTCTGGTCCCTATCGGTTGCTTCGGTGAGCTTGCGCTCCACGAAAGAGATCAGTGCCTCGCCAGAATACCCGTAATCCTTCTTCGGCCAAGCTTTAGGTAACTCGTCTCCAGCTTCATCCATCCAAAAGCCTCAGCGCTTCCACCAGCACCAGGCGATTTTCCTTCGGCTTCGGACTCGGCCATGCTACGCCAGCACGCTACAATGCACGATTCAAATTTTACTGGGTGGTCGCCAAATTATTGGTGTCGGGGTCCCAACGCATCCCAACACTCAACAGTATACTATCAGTTATAGTTACATTACATTATATTACTGAAACGGAAAGCCATCTTTGTCTCCAACCAAAGCAACAACTCGCGGAGCAACCAAAGAACAAATAAACTGAAAAGAAGAACCACATGGTTCAAAACCAATACACACACCCGGCCCGTATCGCGTATGCCAGCGACACGTGCATGAAAGCAAGTACAGAATGCAGAAAAGTAGCTTGCATGAAAAGTGCGTAGCGTTCACACCTGTATGCTAACCCGCACTACAATTCGCGTACTATACAAGGGACTAATTCTGCGCAGTAGGCACGCATTCAAATAAGCTGTAGACATGCACTGCATAAATCTCCAAGTCCTCGTACAAACTGTGCAGGGCTGCAAAGGTACAAATAAATAAATAAATATCAAACAAATATCAATGTGCAGGTCAGCGACGTAGCAAGTACTATTGCACATTATTTTCTTGCTGTTTTGAAATTGGCTGACTTAACAAAACCTCCAAGCTATTACTGTACAGTAGCAGTATTAAAGGCACATTACTCCTATGTGCTTCTCGCTCATTTGGCGACCTGACACCTAGGTCGAATGTCTCAGTACTCCTTGTCAGTTTTGTGCCATGTTGTTGCACTTGCTGACTGTATAAGATCTGGTTACGTTGGTGGACAGTTAGTCATAACTCGTAACTTCATGTTGTCCTTCTTCTTTTCACAATAATTCAATTGGCTCACCATCCGAGTTAAATGAATAATATTAGTCAGAGAAGGGGAGAGAAAGAGAAAGAAAGCAAAACCAAAAACGAAAAGGGAAAATATAGGTGAACGAACACTTCATCATATGCTTACTATTCAAACACGAACATTGAATATTGAATATTCCGACTGAAATGAGACGACTATCAGTGACCATAATGAAAAAGACTAGTACGGGAAAGAACAAAGCCATAAGGGTGATTAGACTAGCTTAGCTCACTTGGAGTAGGAGCCAAGAGAAGAGCGTCACTTCCTCAACCAAACTAACCATGTGTGAACTCGCGAATGTAACTTGCGTGACAAATACACCCAGAAAAAGTATTCATAAAAGACGATACTGTTCGGTCAAATGACAACCTATGTTCCGTTAAAGTCCCTGTGTGAACGTTGGTACAGTGCTGCTTGCTCCTTCCTCTCGCATTTTGGCTACCTCCGGTTTGGTACTTTGCTTGCTGAGAATGACAACAAGCAGCAGGTCAAACTCATCGCCAAGTATGAAAAGAGCATCAAATGGTTACGTGCGAAACGAAACGGCCCCATGAATATCAACACAGACACTTGGGCGGGTCAGCGATATCAGAGATAAAGAAGGGGGAGCTTTGCGAAAACGAACCATAACCATGAACCTTCCAAGCTGTTGGTTTGCGCACTGTAGATGTGTTAGAGGTAGGTCACAGGCCGTTGAATGTCTCAGTAGCCTGTCAGTTTTGTGCCCTGTTATCGCACTTTCTGACTGTTTATTATCATCTTACAGCCGTGGATATTTGCTGCTTCATAACTCATTCCCATGTGTTTTTCTTCTATTTTTACATTTCTTATTGGCTCAGTATCCGACTGAACTGCTAGTATCAAAAGCACATTGCTCCTGCGTATTTCTAGATGGACAGTTCAGTTGACACTAAGGAAACTACCCGGTTTCGCGTACTGAGGGCGAATGCATACGTTAACAGTAACTTACAGAACTGTCAAACTATTCATACTATGCAAAACGTCTTCGGGTAACTCTCTCACTGGATTGCTGGACAACATTCTGCAGGTGAAAAAGCAGAAACCAAAACAAAAGCACTACCAGGTGACAAAGTTGAAGTTTTAAAAGGCTAAGAAATTAACAATCAACAAGTCACCATACAGAGATTATGCTCTGCGGAATTAAACAAGCTGCAATTGGACATAGAACGGTCTGAGAAGAATATGTGATAATGCAAGTGCATTTTTGCTTGGATGTGTTAAACTGCCCTAGAGGGCCCTCGGCCATTCGCTTGATATCATGGGGAGCGCATCAAACTATGTCCACTGCGAGCAAACACAAATTGGAATTTCAAATTTGGACTTAAAGGAGAATTTCAACTTTCCGCACCTAAGCCAAGTTGGAAGGTTGTTGGTTTGCGCTTCATAGATGTGTTGGCACTAGGTGTTAGGTTTTCGAATGTCTCAATATCCTTGTCAGTTTTGTGCCATGTTGTCGCACTATCTTACCATTTACAGGTAGACTCCCTTTAATTCGAACCTCAAATTGCCAGGCCCTAACTTCGAATTATCCAGAACTTCTAATTATCCAAATGCAGCCCCATGCATTGATATGTATGTCAAAATGCTTGAAATCGCATGCTGAATATTTTTTGCACATTTTTATTTGCACCAACGAAACATAGGTGGTCGTACCGGTCATGTACAACGGATCATCAAAACACTGGATCGACACAAAATCATTTTGACATTATCTTCACCTTCTAGTGAAGAAGTTGTCAGTCACTGCAGCTTTCCTGAAACAATTTCAACGGAAAAGAACTGCGCTGCCTAATCCGCGTCATGAAAGGCCGTCGAACAGCAGCACGCCGTTCTGAAGAACGGAAGTGGAGCATAGGCATCGACAATATTTACGACAATAGTGTTGTTATTCGCCAACATCCCCGCGCACGAGCTGGCGCGGCAAGAAAGGCCATCGAGATCCGCGAAGAGAGTCAGCCACCTGGAAGAAGTCGTCTTCAATCAAACCTTTGCAATTTGCCTAGCACGGGCTTGAATCAAATTTCGAGAGAAGGTGGGTTTCTTGAACGCTATAGTCGATCCTGCAGCAGAACATCAATCGATTTTTGAGCTACTCTTGGCTAGAGAAAGAGAAAAGAATGAACTTCGAATTACAAGAATAGCAACTCAACCTCACTTCGAAATAAGCGTTCAAAGGACATAGCCAATGTACTGTAAACAGCTCTTCTGTACGAAGACTGAGTTCGAATTATCCAACCGGCGCACATTTCGTACTTCGAATTATGCATTCGATGTTGACTTGAAGTGACTTGCAGAAGATCGGTACGACGAAAAAGTTCGAATTACACGGAATGTTCGAATTAAACCGTATTCAAATTAGAGGGAGTCCACCTGTATTATCTCATTACCTTGGTGGACTGTTAGTCTTAACTAGCAAATTATAGGTATTATCTTTTCACTCACAAAGCAACAACTGTTCAGTACATGGGCTAGTGGTCTACCAGAGCAATCACACTCACCACCGTAGTGGTTTTCCAGAAACGAGTAGAAGCAAAAAAGCACACTCGCCGCCACATAATAGATAAATAGCCGAAAAACATCTAAATCCATCAAAGAACCGCAAGCAAGCAGGAGAAAAGACCGTAAAATCAAGTGAAACAGCAGGGCCAGTGGTGAGCATTCGTAACTGGGCAGCAGGGGAGTGCCTGAAAAGAATGACTCCCTAAATTCCTAACCGCGACCGCTCAACCGGGCTAGAGGAAAAACACGCCTTTCGGCCAAAAAACCTTTCTAGTTCATTAATTCCTGCCCCGCTGCAAGTCGGACCCAAGAATAGAGACAGCAAGAAATGGTATGTAATAGTATTGTAGCGGGCTGCAGTCTCTCTCGGAGGCAAATGCACACGGGTCTCAGTGAACACACTGTAACTGGCAATTGAAATGTAACTATAATTGACAATGAAATTAATGATGTATTCATGTAATGAATTCAGTTTAGCGTAGGCGCACATCTCGCCACTACGTATCTGCTGCGCAACAGTGCCCTCTACGGTTCTGGCCGCGGCACTTGTTTAGCGCGCCTTGCCGCGACCGGTAAGACCGCCTGCTGTGCATCACATTAATTTATGCGTACGCCATCACAATAATTAATTCAGTTTTGATCGGGTCCGAGTCCGCAACGTGGCACATCTCCTTGCCATTCTCAGTTTTGAGTCTTCTCTGCTTTGGCTCATGCCCGACTTGCATCCTGCTGCCCTTGCCTTTTGCTGACCGAACTGTCATTGCCTAGTCATGTCGGGCACCAGGAAGAGAACCCGTCGCGCAGCACCTAGCCCTGTTCCCGACCCACCTGTTTCTTCGGCTGCGGACCCCGAGCTGCCGAGTAACGCTGCCTCACCACTCGACGGCGGACAATTCAAGCAATTTATATCTGACGAAGTCCAGAAAGCCGTCACCGCCGCCCTGGCAGAAACGGTCTCCCCACTGCTTGCCACCATCGGATCCTCGCAGCCTTCCCCCGCCATGGCTGTACCCACCGGAAATGCTGCACCAACTAGTCCGGGTGCTGGCTCTCTATCTCATCCACTGAACGTGCCGTCTCATGTGAGAGAGAGGATTTTGCGAGGTGAGTGTGTTAATTTGAATACACTGTTACCGGAAGCTCTTGGGACACCAAAGTGTGACACGATTCAGTTGAATTTCAGTGGGTCCAGGACTGTTGAGCTGCTGGATCCCAGCTCTGGCGGGCATGTCGAGAAAGTTCGTAGGCATGTTCACGACCTGGTTACATGGCTAGAAGCCTGGTCCAGATATATGTTCGTACTATGCTCGCACGCACCCAGCCGTTTCTCCGAACTAATGGCATATCAGGCCACCATTGTATCGGCCAACTCCTCATACTATCCGGAGGCCTTGCTCGAATATGACCGGGAGTTCCGCCTGGCAATCTCTCTTGACCCCAGTAAGCGTTGGGACGCCATTGACGGCAATCTCTGGTAACTGAAAATGACAGGCCGCTCACGCCCGCAGTGTAGCACATGCCGGATCACTCACCCTCCATCGGGTAGCCAGTGCCCTTTTCGTGCCTCCCGAGTACCAAACCAGCAGTTTGCACCACGGTCTGCCTACACCAAGTCTGGCAAAGAGATCTGCCGGAATTTCCAGCAAGGTCGATGCTCCAACACCGACTGTAAATTTGCCCACGTCTGCTCCCAATGTGAGGGCGCACATGCCCGCCCCTCCTGCCCGCGTCGCTTCTCTACTGGCAACCAGCGGCAGAACAAAGCTTAATGAACTGCATCTCGATAGTAGCATTCTCCGGACACACCCTACATTCTTTCACACTTGCCGCACACCTATTCACGTTAATCGCCTCCGTTCCTTACTGCGTGCACACCCCGATCAAGCTTTTGTTAAATATGTACTTCATGGCCTTACGTATGGTTTTGACATCGGCTTCAATGGCCCGCGCCAAAGCAGCATGTTCTCCCCTAACTTACCTTCTGCGAGGATGCATCCCGATTTTATTACCAAATACCTGCAAGAATGTTGCTCCCGCTTTGAACTGCTAGGTCCTTTTTCCTCCTCGCTTTTTCCTTTTTTTCATTGCTCCGGTGTTGGCTGCGTTCCGAAAAAGAACGGCCGCTTCCGTTTAATCCACCATCTCTCTAGCCCAGAGGGTCAAAGTGTTAACGATGGAATTTCACGTGAAGATTTCAGCTTGCATTACATCACTATTGATCACGCGATCGATGCAATTATGCAGTACGGTCGTTCTGCTTATCTTTTCAAACTTGACATTCGGAGTGCTTTCCGCATTGTACCTGTGCGGCAGGAAGACTGGCCTCTGCTAGGTATTCACTGGCAAAACCAATATTATTTCGACACTGTGCTCCTCTTTGGCTTACGCTCCAGCCCTGCCATTTTTAACTCTATTGCCGACTGCCTTGAATGGATTGCTCGCTATGAGTTTTCTATTACTGACCTGCTCCATTATCTAGATGATTTCCTTTGCATTTCTCCATCGGAGCTGGTGGCGAACCAACGTGCTTCAATCCTGCTTTGCTGTTTTAACTATGTCCAAGTCCCCATGGCACCTGACAAAGTGGAAGGTCCAGCTCAAGTGCTGTCGTTCCTGGGCATCGAGCTGGACTGTGGCAGACTGGAGGCCCGGCTACCAGACACCAAGTTGCAAGATCTCCGCACCTTGCTCGACCAGTATGTCAACCGTGGCGACATGACCCAACGCGAACTCGACTCACTATTGGGAATCTCCTTCGCAGCTCGGGTAATTATACCTGGTCGGACATTCATGCGCCGACTCTGGGATATTTGTCACCGCTACAGTCAGCCACACTATAAGATCAAACTCTCAGTCGAGGCCCTGGAAGACCTGACGTGGTGGCAACGCCTCCTCTCGCAATGTAACGGAAAAGCCCTTCTTTCATATGCCAAATTGGACCCCGTCTCCCGACATCCAATTGTTTACTGATGCCAGCGGTTCGATTGGCTGGGGCGCATGTTATGGCCATCGCTGGATCCAGGGACAGTGGTTGCCGGAACAAGCCGACTACTCCATCGAGTGGAAGGAGATGTTCGCCATTGCCGCAGCTTGCTCCTCCTGGGGCCTTGAATGGCGCAAGCTCCGCATACTCGTGTACTGCGATAACGAAGCCGTAGTGGCATGCCTGTCCAATGGTTGTAGCCGCTTCCCCCCCCCCCCCCCCCCCAGTCATGGATCTGATACGACGGCTGTTCTTCATGTGCGCTAACTTTGGCTTCATTCTGTCAGCAAAGCATATTCCAGGATGCACTAACAAAGCCGCTGATGCTCTGTCTCATTTTAACATGCAGGAGTTTCGCGAAGCGGTTCCGGGAGCTCGGGCGACAGCCGACCTGTTCCAGTCATTCTAACTGCCGCGGACGAATTAGCAGCACGATATGCTGCTCACGCTCTATCCGACAACACCAGACGAACGTATTCCGCCGGCGAATCTAAGTATCTCAAGTTCTGCCAACTTCAAAGATGGTCCCCGTTTCTCGC